GGCTTCCATCATACTTGATATATTATTCAAAACCAGAGAAAGATTGGCTCACAAGGGGTGGAGTGTTTTTTGAGGATGTCGAGGAGGTATTGATCATAACCTCACCCTCTGTCAAATGTTACAACACCTTAATACTTGTTACAAGCCGACAATCTTAGTGTTTCCTAACATAAGAACCGCCTTCAATTCGTTGGACTGGACTACTCTGTGGGATTGTCTATTGAAGAAGAGTGTGCCTGGGAAGTTTATTAACATTTCGAAAGTCCTATATATAAACAATTCAGGTGAAGAAAGGGCATACAACCACTTCTTTCCATTGTTTGATTCAAGCAGTGGGATGATACATAGTTACCCAATCTCACAATTTCTTTTTCAATTTTGCTGTCGACGACATTCTGGAAACAGGTTTTTTAGATGTTAATCAGTTAGTGATATTGTAGAACTTCGTATGTACGTATATTAGTCCGAGTTGTCATACCACATTAGCACAAAGATGCAGTTGTCAATTCAAATCCCATAGTGGTAGAAGTATTAAGAGTATAAGCAGTAATCCGAAAGATTAGGGGTTGAAGATGTTATTGAAGGAATATAATACAGTGAAATAAATTTGGAAAGAGAAAAAAGATAAGGACAAGAAGAAATCAGAAGACTAAAATTTGAGAGAACATAAACAGTGGATGCACCCTCACCATTGCAAACAATTTTTAGACATGTCATTCAAGTTCGCTAACCATCGGTTGCTAACGACTCACAGATCCGAATCAGGTAGTCTACACCTACCAACATGGTTCAATCCATTTGTCAATAATAATCAATATCAAATAATCTCTACTTAATTAACAAATGATTTTCATTCGATCTTTCAAGTACCAACTACATGAACAATGTGAAATCATGATAACAAAAATTAATTATTAATCACGAGGTTATCAATCAGTTACCAAAGTAGAATCTAACATAGAAATAAGTTGACCACAGTTGCACGGTTAAATAAAATCAATAATATATATTTGTACCAAAAGAACTTGGAGTAATGCAGTAGTAGTAGTAGTAGTAGTAGTAGTAATGGTAGTAGTAGTAATGGTAGTAGTAGTAGTGTTGTGAACAGAACACTAGTTGGGGACAATCGAATGTATTTAAGCAAAGATTACAGACTATCTCAATAAATTCTGATTACCAAACAATGAACAGTCAATTTGCAAATTAACAACCAATTGTTTCAATCTTCACTGTTTCTTCTCTAATTCCATTGCTCATGCATTTTCCAGACGATTGCGCTTCATTCCAGTTCTTTCGTCATCGGTCTTCTGCCAAAATACATTCTATGTCTGACCCACACCATATACTACTTATATGGATATAAGTAGACCACACCACAGTAGTAATAGTAGTAGTAGTAATGGTAGTGGTAATGGTAGTAGTAGTAGTAGTAGTAGTAGCACTAGTAGTAGTAGTAGTGGTAGTGGTAGTTGTAGTGTTGGTAGTATTAGTATTAGTACTAGTACTAGTAGTAATTAGAATGTGATAAAACTAAGCATTAAGAATAGGATAATCCTATAATTATAATTTGTAAAGTACTTTATAAACTTTGCAAAAGTACGATAAGTACTTTGAAAGCACTTACAGTAAGAAAACGCTTTTTATAATAAGTAGGATTTTCATTCTAATGCTTATCTCTCTAGTGTTATGAGTTTAAGCTCAGCTAGTTATTGCGTGATTTATTCGCCAATCAAAATATGGACTTATTCCATCTGAGTACTGTGCTAAACTAATAGCATTGAACTGGTATAAGCAACCTTATGTCCTTATTGATTCTTTATTATCCTAGCCTGTCTAGTTGAGTCTAGAAAGTTAATGACAGCTAAACAGACCATATCACATCATAACATAGGAAATAACATTTATACAAAATCAAATCAAAAAGTGGCTATGAACGTGAGGTAGTGTAATCAATAAACCGGGAATAATTCTGATGGAGTTTTGTTCTTTGAGCTGGATGATTTGGTCGTGGAGCTTTCATCGTTCTTTTGAATGATATCATCAACACAAACGTCTGGTAGAAGTGAATAAAACTCCATCAAAATCATTCATCTAAGCTACAAATCTTCTTCACCATCTCAAAATTGGGAATAACTTAAGACAATTGGTGATCGGTTGCTCATCTTCGTGGATCAGTTAAAGTTAGACAATAACACCGTTGGATGCCAGCCGGCTCAGTGATCTATCGGTTAAGGGCTCTGGCTCGAGACTGGTAGGTCCCGGGTTTGAGTCTTCCTCGCAAGGCGGGATCGTGGATGCGCACTGCTGAGGAGTCCCATAATAGGACGAAACAGCCGTCCGATGCTTCCATGCTTTTCATAGTGGTCTAGCTTCAATTGAATAACGCTTTCAACTATGAAAATAACTTAAGAGCAATAAATCGTATAATAACTGTCTATAGGTCAAAATGAAGCTTATAATAAGAGGAATATGAATATGCATAGTTTAGTTACTAAACTGTTATATGATAAGAATGTATATACATAATATTAGTCCATTAATAGTTCTCAGAAGTGATTTGTATTATGATCTTAACTAGGATATAACATTTACCATAACGGTTAACACATTATCAAAACATATCATGAGTATAAATTCACTTAGCATGATTCATTTGAATCTTCCCATTGATATTTTAAGACTGTAACTGATGAGCCCCTAATTGGCATATATGTATATTGTGCGTATTGCCTTGTAATAGCCTTCATTCACAAGCATTATAAACAAAGATGAATAGTGGCTGTAGTGAATGTACTTGCATCCAACTGACGAGTCACAAATAGGACGAAACTTGCGTCCTAGATTTCACTGCTAGCCACTATCATGAGTAAGTCTAATCTTTTTATTTCAACATTTTTTTTGTATATAAATGTACAATATTACTTAAATACAAAGAAGCATATCATTCATTCACTTATTTGATATTTAATCAATTTTTAGTAAACATAAACCTTATAGTATTCTGTAAGGTTTATATAATAAGCATATGCTAGTATTTATATATCTATACTGTCCAGGTCAGCTGTCATACATGAAAGAACTTAACAGTCACCGTCTGTTAACCATATATATACATAGAGATAGATAGAGTGACTCATTGTTTGTCCCTTTCACTATAAACAAGATATTATAAAGTCAATCGATTATCAACCGAAAAATGTTAGGAAAACAGTTCCCTTGTTCATAGATATATTATTTATTTTACAATTTTTTATCATTTATATGATTCGCTATCATATGTTAGGATAACAGTTTTTAAGGTACTCAAATCTTTACTAATCAACTCAATAGTATACATACACGAGCATGATCTTGGGAATCAAACTCAGGACCTTCAGTCTCGTATTCAAACGATTAACGCTTGAACAACTGAGCTCGCATCTAACCGATAGGCATCCAATGGTGTTAATGCTCTGGCGCGAGACTGATAAGTCTTGGTTTGGAATCTCGCGAGGTAGGATTGTGGATGCGAACTGCTGAGGAGTCCCATAATAGGACAAAAAGACCGTCCAGTGCTTTCAGGTTTTCGATAATGGTCTAGTTTCAATTGACTCATGATTTCAACAATGAAAATCTTGGAAATATTGGATGAGAGTTTTATCCTAGTATGGGACTATTCAATAGTATAAATCTATGAGCATGAACCTGGGGATCAAACTCGGGAGCTTCAGTCTCGTATTCAAACAATGTTAATGTACTTGGTCAGTATTTAAAAGAAACCAAAAGTAAATCTCATTCATGACACGATTCATAGCCATAACGCTTGGATAATTTACTGAGCATTTTACATAAATCAAATCTTCATTTCACTTATTAATTTGTAAATTGAATAAACTGAACACATACTATATTCAGTTGGGTATATAATAGATGGAAAAAATCTTTCATTGAGTTCACCAACTGTTAAATACATACAAAACTTTCCATTAAATGAATTATGAATTGCCCCTAGATGCCCTGATATGGTCGAGGATGAGGAGAGTCCTCATTTCCTCTCTAATTGCTCTCAAATGGTCACGTGTATAGAACTACTGACAGGAAAATCCTACTCACTAACTTTTCTCAATTGGAAGGGGATGTTGTTTGAGAAATTGAGAAGATGAAAACTTAATATCAGTAGCCTTAACCCGTTTGATGGATATGGAGGATTCACTTAGGACAGTTGAAAAATTCTGATTTCAAACTAATGATGTACATGTGCTCCAAGATCTTGAAGGAACAAATGAATCTATTCTAGTCACTGGCTACCATTGACAGGAAAATCCTATTCACTGCTTTCTCGTAGCAATAGTGTTGTTGACGAAATTGAGAAGACGAAAAAAATCAAATGTCTGACCTTTTAACCAAGTTGATGGATATAGAGGGTCGGCCTATTGAAGTTGGAAAACTCTCATTCCAAACTAATGGATTTCAAGATTATTAGGAATCAATTAGAGAATAAACCTATTGTTAGTTCACTGGCTACCACGTGACTACATCTCCTTACATTAATCCATTTTCTTGTGGATTACACCCTCACATAAATTGAATGATGAAGTGTGACATATTACTTGCTTATTTACTTAAGCCTTTTACCCCTAATAGAGTATACGCCATCAACCGGCATTCTCAAACCTAATCTGTCCTGTGCATTTCTTTCTAGTTTTATCCAATTATTGTTCATTCTTTTCACATCTGTCTCCATTTCTCAGCGTATATGTATATACATATATATTCGATACCTCTTTTTAAACCAAAATAAATGTCAGAAAGAATTTTTATGGATATTTCAGTATTTTCATAGTTGAAATCATGAATTAATTAAAACTAGACCACCGGAGAAAACCCAGAAGCACTGGAAAGCCTTTCCGTCCTATTATGGGACTCCTCGACAATGCACATTCACGATCAATTGATTCATGATTTTAACTATGACAATATTTATATAATTCAATAAAGTATTCTAAAGTATTATCACTTACTAATTCATCTAAAGAACGAAAATCAACAATTGGACGTTTTAATTCTTCTTTTTGTTTTTTAATATTATTATTATTATTATTATTATTATTATTATCTAATCCTTGAGGATTATTTTTACCGGTTGAATTTTTTCTATTTTGTTGTTGCTGGGACTGGTATTGTTGTTGTTGCTGGGGGTGTTGTTGTTGTTGGGGGTGGTGTTGTTGTTGCCTATGTAATTCTGTTGAATAAGTTGATAATTGATTTTTATTATTTATTAATAATTTTTTATTTTGTTTATTAATTTGATAATCAATATTATTGATTTTTTGTTTATTTTCTAATGAAATTATAATATTATCATTAGCTAATTGTTTATCAATTTCAACTTCTAATTGTACAATTTCTGGTATACACATACCAATTAAACCACCAAGACGTGCTAATTCTAATAAACATATAATAACATGACGTGGATTTTTTTTACATACTAAATCTTCACTTTCAAATAATGTAGAATCATGCATACCAAGTTGACGACACCATTGAATGAAATTCGACACATTATCACGTGATATAAAACTAATTGTAGCATTAGATGAATGTAATCCACGTAATTGATAATTAGGACTATTATTAGGTATGGTTACTTGTAAACCACTTATACGTAATTGATCTAATTTCATTGATTTCTTATCATTGATTTCTGTCAATAAACGATTATGTAATTGAGTAGCATGATAACACAATAAAACACCATCAGATAAACGATCAAAAAAATTATCTGAATTTAAATCAACAATCATAGTTGGATACATTTTTTTAAACCAATCAACTAAATCTTCAATCATTACTAATAATAATTCATCTTTAGTTGTAATTGAACTTGATCCATTGAACTCTTCTGATGATGTATGATTATTAGAATTATATATGGAAGATAAAGAATCCGTTATATTATAATGACCACCATATGATGTAGTATGTATATAACCACTATCATCATCTGTATTTAAACTATTTAAACTAGATGATGATAACCCAATAAATTGACGTGTTATTATATCAAAATTATTAAATGTTTCTTGTAACATTAATTCACTATCAGTTGGATCTTGTTTATGATTCAAATCTATAAATGAATCATTATTAGTAGTATAAAATGTTTCATTATTATTTACATTTTCATGATTGATTTTATTGAATGATGATTGATTTTTTGAAATATTATTTGGTGGTAATGAAATAGCTCGTTGATTGTTACCATGGAAACGATTTAGATTCATGTTTCTAAGGGAAAAAAGATCTTCAGAATATGATTATGATTATATTAAATGACTATATATTTCATAAATATATAGATTACATCACATTTCCATTTAATTAAATATAGAAAGAATAAATGAAGGATAAATATTCACTTTAAAATCAATATAACAAACACATGGATACACGTATCTGATGCATTTTGATTTAGAAAATGTTTTTTTGAAAAAAATAAATTTAAATGTTAAAATGGTTTTTTAATCAACCAATCATATTTATTGTTTAAGTTATTTGATAATCCCACGCAAATATGAATTTGAATTTTGATTGGTTAAAATTATGAGTGTATTTTTTAAAGATTTTGATTGGTTAATGAAGGTCAATCCAATCAGGTAATTGAATGATTCTATTCATTCGATTCAATTCACAATACAAATAGTAATATAATGAGATTAGTAATAGAAAAGGACAGTTGTTAACAGTTTTCTCTTTTCAGTAGTTGAGATCATGAGTCAATTGAAGGTAGACCATTATGAAAAATCTGGTAGCACTAGATGTCCGTTTTATCTTGTTGTGCGACTCCTCAACAGTGTGCATTCATGATCCCGCGTCGCAAGATTTTGAACTTGGTTTCTTTTTCACAAATGTCTAGATGACACTGTTGAATGGTTAATGTTCGGACTCATTCATGGACTACTAATACTATCCATATAATTTTATTGTGTAATTGTTAACTAACAAAACTATATATTAATTATCAGGAGGGGTTTTGTGGAGATTTAGTATTCTTCATAGATGAAAGTGTGAGTCAATTGAAGCTAGACCACCGTGGAAACGGCCGTCCAGTGTTTCCCAGGTTTTCCATGGCGGTCTAGCTTCAATTCACTCACGCTTTCAACTATGAAAAAACTATATATATTCATATTCCTCTTATTATAAACTTTATTTTGCCCTATAGACTATTATGATATGGTTTATTGTTCTTGAGTTATACCCAGTCTATTAATTAAAGTCCCCCACATTCACAGCCAATTTTGATTAAATCTTGTACAAATGTTTTTATTTTTATTTTTGTGATATGTTTTGGCTTGCTTGTATATCAATCCAGTATGTTTGAAATATATAATTCATATTTGCAGAGGCTGAGATTTGTGTTCTAAGCTCAACAGATAGGCAGAGGTAGACAGAAAGAAGGAGTAATAAGAACTTTAGACTGTTCATACTGGTTTATGCATCATTGGTCTGGTCGATAAGACACTGATTTTAATCGGTACAAATTTGCAAATTATAACACAAATCAATTGTATTTCTAACTAGGAAGTGATAGAAAAGTGAACAACCATTATTGATGATGTTCAACTAGTGATAAAGATCTTTCTTATTACAAATGACAAATGGTATTTTTCAATAACAGTTAACTGTTCGATGATCAAATATTATATCAAAATGTGGGAAAAAACTTTTTCAAACCTACTTTTTACTGAGAAATACTTCACTCTTCTGGTTTTCATTCAATTCTATAAATCTTTCACTAATCTTTGTTCTGAACTGATTGGTAACTATGATAACCGACTTATCACTTCGTCTGTTTGATCAGAGCACGGAGGTACGAAGAAAGACATAATCCCAATACTTTTATAAATAGATTATTCTGATAGTTTGACCCCTAGAAAAGGACTAGGAGTATAGGAATATATAACATAAATAAAAAGATCGATTGAAGTTACGCACCACCATTGGATGCCGGCTCAGTGGTCTAGAGGTTAGGCGTTCAAGCACGTGACTGAAGGTCCTGATTTCGAGTCTTTTTGATGTGGTATCGTGTAACTGCACTTCCAAGGAGTTACATACTAAGACGAAACACCTGTTAGGTACTTTCGGGTTTTCACTAGTGGTCTAGCTTAGATCGATTGGTGAATTCAACTATTAAAATAAACTTTAGTATTAAAGAAAGAGACTGATGAGTAGACAATTGTGCAAACAGGAATATTCAGCAAAGAATCATCACTTTTGAATCAGTTAATCATTATACCTTTACACAAGTATGTAGGATTTACAATTGAATACAAAAATCAATCCTATTTCATCAGTAACAAATGAATAAACAGTAATATTATCTTAATTTGATGTTATGCATAAACAAACAATCATTGATTGTGGTTTTTTTAAGAATCAAACTACGTTAGATGTCTATAATAAACATATGAAATGAGGCACATGACCCAATGAAGTGAAAAATATTATAGACATTTTATATGAATGTATAGAAACGAATCGTTACTCTGATGATTACTAGAAGGTATTGTTATATCTTGTGGCCGCCAATTAGAGAGCAGTGAGTTGTCGATCGAACCAATGACGCATAAACCCGTAACAGCGGTTTAGAGTACTCGTAGGTCCTGTTTGCTGCTTAGCCCAGGCAGTTACGTCCAGAACACCGATAACAGCCTCTGCGGTTTGGATCATTTATTTCAAACATAATGAGTTTATATATCAACCAGACAGACTACATCGTATCATAAAATTAGAAACAACATTTGTAGTTGTGAATAGGGGCAATAGTAATCAATAGACTGGGGATAACTCAAGAATGGTAAATCGTATAATAATAGTTCATAGGTCTAAATAAAGCTCATAACAAGAGGGATAGTTTAGTTAGTTAACAATTATACGATAAGGTTATGTACATAGTATTGGTCCCTAAACGGATCCCAAAAGTAACCATTCATTATTTTGTCAGGATCTAACAGGTATTGTCTCATACTCGAGTTCAACCAACCAGAAGAATATTAGAACGTTATGCTATGAATCAGATGAACTCTATCAAATGTTGCATTAATGAAATGAAAATGTAAGCTTTTGACGGTCCCTAAGAGTTATAAAAACTTATTCAACTGAAACAACCATACGATAGCTCATTTAATTTAAATTCAAAACCTGGACAACCAAACTTCATCAAGGAGACTTCTATCAAACACAAACCTTTGTATAGTGATTGTTATGGAATTGCACATGTTGGTTATGATCGTATATAATCATCGACTTAAATCGTGCTGGTGAATAACGAAATTAAATACATCGATTACGAGAATGAGATTTTTGAATACATATATTTTGAACACTTACTAATCTGGACAAGATGAAGCGAATAGAAGAGAGCGAAGGAGAAGGCGTGTAAGTCAATTCCATCCAATCAAGCTCTAATCAATATTTTAAACCAGATAAAAATAGGTTACCGACATGTGATGAATAGGATCAGAAGTGTACACACACATATGAATGATTGACAAGGTCGAAATATAACTGAAGTAGAATGGATAAATTGGCCTGTGCAGAATCTAGAATAAGTTATATGGGCAACCAACACTACAGATAAGTTAAAACAGTCAAAAGAAGTGTTAATAGAGAAGCTAATCACCATAGAACTTACCTTACTACAATATAACACAAATCCAGCTAAATCATTGGTCAATAGTGCTAAACTCATTAGCCCTAAAGACACCCTTTAAAAGAGACTCAAAAGTATTTACTACTTACCAAGTGAAAACCTACATTAAATTTTACACACAACGATGTCATGAAAATTGATATGAATAAATCCAATTTTACTTACTTACTTACGCCTGTTACCCCTCGTCGAGGAGCATAGGCCGCTCACCAGCATTCTCCATCCAACTCTGTCCTGAGCCTTCCTTTCCAGTTCTTTCCAGTTACTATTCAGCCTTTTCATATCGGCTTCTATTTCCCGACGTAGTGTGTTCTTTGGCCTTCCTCTTTTCCACTTCCCTTCCGGATTCCAAGTTAGGGATTGAGTTGTGATGCACATTGGTGATTTCCTTAATGTATGTCCGATCCACTTCCAACGTCTTTTCCTAATTTCCTCTTCAGCTGGAAGCTGGTTTGTCCTCTCCCATAAAACGCTGTTGCTGATAGTATCCGGCCAATGGATGTTGAGTATTTTGCGTAGACAACTGTTTATAAATACTTGTACCTTCCTGATCATGGCCGTAGTAGTTCTCCACGTTTCAGCTCCATACAGTAGGACTGTCTTCACGTTCGTATTAAAGATTCTGACCTTGAAATTGGTTGAGAGTTGTTTTGAGTTCCATATGTTCTTCAATTGTAGAAATGCTGACCTTGCTTTGCCAATCCTCGCCTTTACATCTGCATCCGATCCTCCTTGTTTATCAACGATGCTCCCCAGGTACTTGAATGTTTCCACCTCTTCCAGAGTTTCGCCATCAAGTGTGATTGGGTTGGTGTTCTCCGTGTTGCATTTGAGAATCTAGCTCAAATGATAGCTGGTGACTAGTTTTATGAATAAACAAAACTTTACGCTAGACAATAATCAATTATAATATCTTACTAAATTCATAGAAAACTTTCTCCTATTAAAATCTATTCATGTTGAATTCCAATACCAGAATGTAGACATATTTTCTATTGAGTCTTACTTAACCAGAATTGCCCCAAGTTCAATTTTCAAGTCCACCAATATATAATAAATGTAAAGTGTTTTCATAAGATGGTGGTTGGAGGTGGTAAACAGGGAACTCTGGATCCGGGTTTCGTTCTACTTGGGACTCATCAACAAGGTGTACCTGTAATCTTGAGGGAACTGATGCTCCCTGACGGATTCTATCCCGTATCACTCAGCGTCACAGACGTTATAAGTAGTTTGTAACACCCATTGAAAGTGGAATATCTACTAACAGAAAGCTGAGAACATTGAAATAAAGAGAAGAAATAAGAAAACTAAAGGCAATCAAAATAGCAACAGAAATAAAAAGAGCAATAAAGCTTGTAAGAGACAATTTGAAGAAGATATACAAATGATGTATTGGATGTACGATTTTCATAATTTGCTAAACCATTCTGTAAATTATTTATGCCCACCAGAGTATTTATTCACTATTATATAAACAATAGCACTGGACGGCCGTTTCATCTCAGTACGCGCGTTGCTGAGGTGTCCCACTCTAGGACGAAAAAAAGCTGTCCAGTTCTTCCAGGTTTTCCATGGTTGTCTAGCTTCAATTGACTAATGAATTCATCTACAAAATTATTAAAATCTCCACAACACCCCTTTCTGATGATGGGAATATAAGTAGAATAGATTATAGATTTTTCTAGGTACATACATAGTTAGGTAAGAAAAGATGGATAGTGGCTAGCAGTGGAATCCAGTTTAGACGCGCGTTTCGTCCTATTTGGGACTCGTCAGTTGGATGTACCTGCATCTC